CACAACGCAATTGCATTGGACGCATTTTGCATGTGATGCGTGCATTGGATTGGCTGTGTCCTTCTTACCCGCACGTGATTGGCTATTAATCCGATGCAATGTCAAACCATATCCGGATACATGAGAATATCCGGCTGAATCTCCGTTCATTTCATTTGCTGATCGGACGCAAGAAGAGGAAGCAGCATGGACAGCGTCGCCGGCCACGTCCTCCGCGCGCCACGTATGCTTCGACGCATCTGCGTCTACCAAGCCAGCGCGGGTAAGATGACGCTCAGCAGCCCACTGCGCTGCGGCGCCGTCTCGCTGACCAGCTACACGGACGAGCCACCTCACCCCGACGACGCCACGACCATGCGCTCGTGGATCGCGGTCCATGGGATCGACGGGCTCGCTTCGCTCTGCGTGCCCCATCTCTTTGCCTATGCGCTCTCGTGTGGCGATGCGCAGGTCCTTGACTGGCTCGTTGTCCAAGGCTACGTGACATGGACGAAGGAGCTCCTGCTGCTCCACACCCACGACTGCAACATGTGCCTTGGCGCCAGAAAGGACCTTGGCGCTGCGACGACGATGCGTGCGCTCGGCTGCGTCGCCCACGCGACAGAGAAAGGTCACGTCGCGATGTTGCAGCTCCTCTACGAAAATGGCATGTCTGTGGCTGGCATCTGGAAGGCTGTCTGCGCGGGCGGGGATCGTCGCATCGCCAAGTACGTCGTCGCCAACGCCCTCGACGCATGGGATGACGCATGCATCAACGTTGCGGCTGCGAACGGCCATTTTGCGCTGGTGCGGTATTTCCTCCGCCTCGGCTACACGGGCGTCGACCGGCGGACGCTTGCGCTTGCTGTCCAACACGACCAGCTCGAGACAGTCCAAGTCCTCCTCGCGCAAGACCGCCGAACGCGACTCTTTTTTGCGGATGCGCTGCGGGGCGCCGTCGAGTATCGCCGCCTCAATCTGCTTCGTTGGCTCTGCCGGCAGCCGGCAGCGCAGGCTTTTCTGAAGGCGACGAATGCGCTGGCAGAGTACTTCTGCGCACCTGCCGCCATCCGCCAATGTCTCTGCGACGCTATATCCCAACACGCTCTCGACATGTGCATGTGCTCGGTGCTCGTCTCCACGAGCCTCTTTCCGACCATTGCCTCGTACCAAGATGGCCTTGACGGCCGCACGTTCGACTTACACGAGCTCTGCTCGAGAGGGCTTGCTCTCTACCGCAACTACGATCGCGAATCGCCCGCGTCGTGTATGTACGGGGCGTACCATGAGCGGTTTGGTCATTGGCGCGCTCGGCATGGCCTCTCGCAGCTTCGTGACCTCTGCGTACCCCACCTCTTTGCGTTTGCAATGGCGTACGGCAACGCCGAGGTCCTCCAGGCACTCGGACCACAATTGCTATCGTCCCAGCGACGTGTCGAGCTCAGCTGTCGTCACCATCGCATGTGTGGCTATGCCAAGGACCAACTCGACCACCGCAAGATCGCGTACTCGACGGTCGTCATGCACGCTGCCGAGTCGGGTCACGTCGATCTCCTCGCCATGCTGCACGCTGCTGGCTTTAGCATGGAGAACGTGTGGCACCGTGTTAGCTTCTTTGGCCATTTGAACATTGCGCAGTTTGCCCACGAGCACCAACTGCCAGGGTGGCAACGTAACTTTGTGTACACGACAGCGGCGAGTGGCCACCTCGACGTGGTGCAATTCTACCACGAGCACAACTACGACGGCTTTGACGACGACACGATTTGTGGTGCCGTGTACAGTGGCAATTTGGCGCTCGTGCAGTTTCTCGTGGCGCATCGACCGACCGAAGACATGCTGCACAAGGCCATGATGATTGCAGTCGACAAGGACAACGTCCCGATGCTCCGATGGCTCATCGACCAGCCCGGTGCCGCGTCGCACGTGGTTTGGACCGCAGGACGCGCGTACATTTCACAAAGTTCTCAATGTGCCGCGCTCCTTGCAAACGACCCACGCACAACGCCGGCCACGATGAGTCTCTACGCCCGCGCCCGCAAGCGCAAGGCGTCAGCGATGATGTAGGATTTAGGTGTCATTTCAGTGGAGAGTACTGTACTCAAGTCAATCTAGTCGTGTCAAAACTCAACTACTAGTTCGCAGTGGAGCTATCCCCATCGAACGAATTATATGTGGAAAACGCAAGGCGTATCTTTGCAATCGTCATGAGCGATTCCATTGGCCAACAAAAGTGCAATGCGTACATGTGATTGGCTCCTCGCGTGAAGCCGCCATCGCATTGGCTGGTTTTCCACATGCAAATCAAACATATGGAAACGCCCTCATGTTTCTAGGTGGTGAGCACAACAGGCAACGTCTACTATAATAGTTGCTGCGTATGGCGCATCGACAAAGCTCGATACGATACCTTTCGGCTCGGCGGACCCGACGACCATACCTGTGCAGAAATAAATGCATGTACATACAGTACGCGCGCTCCCGGTTCTTGAAGTCGCAACGCGCCGGTTGTAGATGGCATTACGACACCAGTGTCCTTTCATTCCTCCCAAGGTTGGGTCGGAAGCCGCGCCGCGTCGACGCTGCACGTCATCACCAAATAGTAGGACCCACTAAGTAGGACCCGTGGGGTGCACCCCCACCTCACGCGAGGGGGGACTGTACCGTGGTACAAGGCCATAAAATTTACTTTTGCCGTCAAAAGCAATCGAGCGTCGTCCATTTGATGGTCAAATCCAAACAGCCCCATGAAGGTCATACATGTAGTATGATCTTCATGCTCGTTCATTTGCGCTGGCAGATCCAAAGATACCAGTCCATGAGTAATAGGTCTTGGGTTCACGATGCATTGTCTCTTTCGTGGTCGCATCGTCACCATCTGGTCCGGCGTGATCCTGTCTTTTCAGTCGCGTCAGTCTTTTTATTCGGCAAAAACACTTTTCGCAAAGTACATTGCCGTGGTGACATGGCCTGCCCCTACAGCGCGTACGTCTCGACGGCGACGCGCGAGTGCCAAGACGGCGCCTACTGCATCGTCGACAGTGCGTGCAAGGTAGCTCCCTCTCTTGCTCGTATCTTTATACAGAGTCGCATCTAGACGCTGAAGGCGTTCACGACCAAGGACTTTGTCGTCGACAAAGCGAAACAATCAAGACTCGTTGTGCGAGGTCCGACTGAAAACCTGAACCAAAATCTCGGTCCAACGAGCGACGAATGTACTAGATCTCGTCGTGTCGCATGTGGCCGATTTGCCCAACGCGTTCGTGGGACTCAAAATGTACGACATCGCAAGCCTTGACTTGAGCTTACTGAGCCTTCCAGACGTTTCTTCAACACCTACACTCGCTCGGTGGGCGACCTCTCGACGACGTCCAACGTCAATGGCTTGTAAGTCATTTTTGCTCAGCAAAATGTCAATATTTTGCGTGTTAGGGAGATTCTCGACAATGAGACGCCGCTCGATCTCTCGCGCGTGGTGTGGCCAACAACACTCGAGATCATGTATCTCCTTCTGTGGAGAGAGAGAAAGGCGCTCACCGTTATGGTACCATTGCAGGACTGTTGAAAACACGCAGATTGTGGCGTTTCCAGCGACCCCCCTTCCCAAAAACCTCCACTGGCTGTACGTACACAAAAAGTATTGGAGCTTTTTGTCTCAACACGTCATGTTAGTACGCTGAGTAACACCAGCCTCACGAACGTGCAGCATCTCGACATGAGCACCCTTTGGTTTGTGTACGTCGTACTGCGAATGCTCTGGCACCCAACAGCAACACACACTCGATAGGAATTTTGAACTCAATCCGCTCACGGCATTGTACAACGTGACCTTTGGCGAAGGCCTCCAACAACTGTACGCTGATGAAATGCCTTTGTCTAGCAACAACAATAACTGTGCGTGTCGACATTAGCAATTTTGGCAAAGCCAACTTGACGACCTTCACCGTGGACCCCGGGACGTACGACGTACTTCGCAACGAGAGCCATGCCGTGTACTTTATGGGCGCTCTCGACATCACGGCCACATGCAAGGTGCCCAATCGCATCATGCCGCTTGTCCCCAACGGCCCCGAGATTTTTACGGCCGCAGCGCGCTTTGTCTGCGTTGCCCCAGGTCCACTCTGATGCCTATTCTGTGCGTCTGACACGAGTTAACTAGGCAAGATGTTGCCGCCACCAACCCCGTCCAGCGTGCCCACAACCAGCGCATATCGGCCGACATCCATGGCCCCACCAACGACGGACAGTGTCGTGGCTGCAGCGTCCGGCCTCAGTGGCGTCGCGATCGCGGGCATTGCGGCCGGTGCCGTCATCCTCATCTTGGGCATCGGGTTGTATTTCTTCTGCCGCCGACGTCGTCCAAGGTACGTTCTTGCTCCTGAACTAGACATCGATCGTCAGTGCTTAGATTCTAATGTTTCAATCGTAGCAGCCCGATGACCACAAGCAAGCCACACGAGAGCTCACACCCCTACGAGGGGGGCACGGCGACCGCCGAGTCCCGGCCGTCGGGGTGTCCGCCCGCCAACTTTGATGTACGCAGGCGCATTGCTTTCCAAGCGACATTGAAACATAGGACCTCGCAATGCTGCGGCTCGAGAGCTCGTTGCTGCTGCCCATCGCGTGTGTAGCCGAAGGCGCGTACGGCCAAGTGTGGCGGGGGACGTATCAAGGTACGCTGCCCCTTGCTACGATCCGTGAGGCGACGTTTGGCTCTAGGACATGCCGTGGCGATCAAGGGCCTCTTGCCGGGCAAAAATTCGCGCTCTGCGGTTGAACAGTTTGCCAACGAGATTCTTCTCGCCTCACGGTATACTTCGACGGCCAGTTTCAGTTGTTCGACAACAACTTGTCATGTTTGTACAGGATGTCAAGTCCGTACATTGTCGCAACCATGGGTGCGAGCTGGCGCGTCCCTTTTGAGCTGCAAATGGTGCTCGAGTGGATGGACCGAGGCGACCTGCGGGGGGTCCTTCAAGCGACGGCCCCCCCAACGCCCGACGGCGACGCGCGCGGTTTTTCGTGGGACGAAAAAATGGCGTGCATGCTGAGCATGGCGGAAGGCCTCGCGTACTTGCACTCGCTCGACATAATCCATCGCGACTTCAAGTCCCGAAATGTGCTCTTGGACTCGACCAAGGTACACTTTGATAGATTTTATTGGATTTTAGAAATTCGCATCATTTTAGGGCACCAAAATCACGGATTTTGGCACGTCGCGCGAGACCACGACCGACACGATGACGTTTGGTGTCGGCACGTACCGCTGGATGGTTGTCCTTTTTGAAAAACATGAAAAAGCTGACAAGGACATTTTTTTGTAGGCGCCCGAGATTCTTCTCGACATTCAATACTCGACGGCTGCCGATATTTACTCGTTCGGCGTCGTTCTCTCGGAGCTCAGCACGCACGAGATCCCGTACTCGGACCAGCGCAACACGAGTGGTACAGCAGTCTTAGGTTTGGCAATGGAGGCTGAGAGAATGATGATGATTAGGGCATCCGCTCGTCGATACCGCAATCATGGGGCGCGTCATGACGGGGTCGATCCGACCGTCGTTCGGAACGCAACTGCCGCTGTGGGTGCGCCACGTCGCCGACGCCTGCATCGCATGGTCACCTGAAGCCCGCCCGACGGCGCTCGAAGTTGCGCATACGATTCGACAGCAGATTCGCGCAACACTTTAATCGCGGCGCTAGTCCTAGCCCATTCTAGTATGTGTGTATAAACGAATAAATCTTGCTTCACAATCCTGTGATCCCATTGGACACGTCGACTCGGTTGCGTCTTGATGGATGACACCTCGTTGCGTCGTGTAGAGCCATGACGCGCTCGTATATTCCGCAGCAGTTCGTTTCGTACACAAGCACGTGACTGCGAAGGACATGGTGCTCTTCCCAAATGACGAGACCTTGCTTCGGTCAAGGTATCAGCTGTCAGTACGTTGGAAGGGCGGATTAAACGAAGATCGCTTTCTGGTGTTCGCGCCTGATCGGTGATTGGCCCACTTTGAGCGTCCACGTGATTGGTTACATTCAAAAATCGCGCAGTCAATTGGTGTGAAGTCGCCCTTATTTTAGCCAATCCTGTCCTAGGACAGCAGAACCCTCGCTGCAAGGCTCACTGACAACATGGAAGTGCAACGCTCCACGTGTGTCAAAGTCGTCACGACCTCGGATTCCCCAACCTTCTTTGGAGTCAACTGTGCCCAGTCCGTCCAATATCGAATTGCCATTTCCCTCTTTTTGGAAATAGCTCCGATCCGGACGTATATCCGGTTAATCCGGAATTCAGCATGGTGAGCGTCGCCGCCCAGGTCCTCCGCGCCCCACGCATGCTCGCACGCATCTGCATCTACCAAGCCGGCGCGGCGAAGATGGCTCTCGGCAACCCACTGCGCTGCGGTGCCATCGCGCTGGGCTGCTACGCGGACGAGCCGCCTCGCCCCGACGATGCCACGGTCATGCGCTCGTGGATCATGGCCCATGGCGTCGACGGGCTCGCTTCGCTCTGCGTGCCCCATCTCTTTGCGCACGCGATTGGCAACGGCAATGTCACTCTCCTCCAGTGGCTCATCGACCACGAGCTGGTGATGTGGACCAAGGAGCTTCTCGTGCTTGACGCCCAAGGCTGCAAGGCGTGCCCACGCGCCGTTGAGGACCTTGGTCCTGCCATGAAGATGCGCAGTCGCAAAATCGTCGCTCAAGCGGCGGCCATGGGCCAACTCGAGCTGCTGGACGTCCTTGTTGGATTGGGTTTGGCCACCAACGACATTTGGCCGGCGGTGTGCGCTGGCGGCCGTGTGGGCGTTGCAGAGTACGTCATTGCGCACGACCTTGGTGTGTGGGACGACGTCTGCATCAACGTCGCAGCAGAGAACGGTCATTTCGAGCTACTGCAGTATCTCCTCGATCGCGGCTACAACGGTGTCAACCGGAAGACGCTCACGCTGGCTGTCGCACGCGACCATCTACCAACCCTCCAAGATCTTCTCGCTCACAGTCGCTCACCAAATGTGCTGTTGAGACATGCGCTCCAGGACGCCGTCAAGTGTGGTCGACTCGGCATACTTCGCTGGCTCTGCGCGCAGCCGGAAGCTTGGGCGTTCTTGGCGACGGCAAAGGCGACGGCCGCTTACTGCTGCGCGTCGGACGCGATCGTTCAGTGCATCCGTGACGCGATGGCCCGGTACGCTGACGAGCAGCGCGTCACGTCTGTGCTCGTCTCTCCCATCCTCTTGACCATCATCGTCGCATACCAAGCCGGATTCGACTACAGTACCGTCGCCTTGCACGCGCTCTGCAGCGACCTTGCACTTTACCGCAACTACGACCGGCAGGTGCCCGTGGCCAGTGCCTTTGCAGTCTACCACGAGACGTTAGGTCGGTGGCTGGCGCGCCACGACCTCGGGCAACTCCATCTGCTGTGCCAGCCACACCTCTTTGCCTACGCGATGGCGCTGGGTGACAAGAATCTTCTTACCGCGCTCGGACCCGAGCTTCTCGTGCCGTCGCGACGTGTGGAGCTCAACTGCCGCGGTCGCCGAGTGTGTGCCTGTGCCAAGAACACGCTGGGGCTCCATGTCAAGGTCTCGTATTGTGGTGTCGTTGAGCACGCAGCCGAGTTTGGCCACCTCGACGTTCTCACCGTGTACCATGCGGCTGGCTTTGGCATGGCCGACGTCTGGAGCCGTGTGAGCTACTTTGGGCATATGAGCATTGCGCAGTTTGCCCACGAGCACCAAATTCCAGGGTGGCAGCCGCACTTTATCTACAACGCAGCGAACGCCGGCCATCACGACGTGATTCGATTCTTCCACGAGCACAACTACGACGGCTTCAACGACGACACGGTCCGCGGCGCCGTGCACAGTCGCCAAACCGACCTCATTTCGATCTTCTTGACGCACCGAGAAGGCGCAATGGCCAAGGCCTTGATGGCGGCGGCCGAGACAGACAATGTCGACATGCTTCACTGGCTCGTCGACCAGCCTGGCGTTACGGCGGCGCACTTGGATACGACCGCGGTGCACGCGTACACGACGCGGAGCTATCGGTGCGCAGCGCTCCTTGCACAGGACCCGAGAACGTCCCCGACTTTGATTGCGCTCTACGAACGCAGTCTCAAGCGCAAGGCGTCCGAGATATCGGACGAGTAGTCCACGTGGGTATGACGTATGTATCCAAATAGCGTCTTGAGCGTCCTTAGTGTGTGGGTTCCTTGCGTGGTGTGGCGTCTCGCTATCAAATCGCCACTCGATTGGTGAGGTTTTGGTGTCGCGTTGGCTGCGTCGAGCCAGCGACGGTGGCGCACGTCGCAGAGTAGTGCTCTGACCGGGTGGATATAGACGAACAAACCTCATATCGCAGTCACGAGGTACTATCCTCAAAACGTGAACATGGCACACACAGTACACTAGTGAGTTGGCAGCAGCTCTGAACCCGATATGTAGCATCCGCATGTGCAAACTGCAATTGTTGATTTTGACCCGTCGGGATATTGGGATCATAGCGTTGGCTGGAGGGCGGCTGGTGTGCGAGCGCTGCGCAGGGCAGTGTGGACAAAGGATGTTCAATTTTTTCCTCAAAGCAGCATTTCTTTACGAATGTAATGATCTCTGGCAGTTGGACGATACCTTGCCGAGGAAGCTTTCGAGGATGAAAGGGAAGAAAAGTGTATTCCCTTGATGGTTGTCTGCGCCATGGCGCGTCTGCCATTCCGCCGCCATACATGTCGACAAGGAATGACCGACAGCAAGAGCATGAGCTCGGAGCGACCGAAAGTGTCTATTGTTTGAGGATGCGTGCGTTGAGTGTGGTCCACAGTAGGCTCATCGTGGGGCATCGGACTGCGCGTCAAGGTCCACGAGAGCGGATCGATGGTTGGCTCCACGCGCAAGAAGAGCTTGTGCTTAGCCACGAGATCGCGCTTATGGCAGTCGCCCTACAGCGCCCACACACATGTGACTCCAGCGGTCTTCAACGACGAGCATGTTGAATGACCAAGGTACACGAAACGGGCGATTTCATTGGCCAATTCCATGCGACTTTTGCGCATTGGATTGGCTGCTTTTAAACGCGAGCGCCCCCGATTGGCTATTGTTCACGATACAAACCGTCCGGATACACCCGCGATCATTCGCAGCTTTTGCGACCGCATTGACCGGAGCAACCTTGCCACCCACGTCCTCTGCGCGCCTGACCTGCTCCGCCGCATCTGTGCCTTCCACGTCGACTAGTCGCAGGACATGCTCTGCCGCAGTCACCTGCGCCGCACGTACGAGCACGACGACGACGACGGCGTTGCAGTGGACGGTCCGCGCATCTCGGCGTGGCTGCAAGTCCACGGAACCGGAGAGCTGCCGTCGCTCTGTATGCCTCATCTCTTTGCTTATGCAATCACGTGCGGCGACGCCAGCGCTCTCCAGTGGCTCGCGGATGCAGGTCTCTTGATGTGGGCGAAAGGCGGTCTCGTGCTCGACGCCCGCGATTGCAAGGCGTGTCCGCGTGCGATCAAGGACCTCGGTCCCGCAATGAAGATGCGCAGCTCCAACAACATCGTCCGCGCAGCAACCAAGGGCCATGTCGACGCTTTGGCCTTTCTTATCGGCATTGGCTTTGCCGCGGACGACGACATTTGGGCGGCAGTCTGCACGGGCGGTCACTGGGACGTCGCTGCGTTCGTCGTGGCGCACGGCCTTGGAGTCTGGGACGATGCGTACATCAACATCACTGCCAAGAACGGTCATTTTGATCTGTTGCAGTACCTTCTCGGTCTCGGCTACACTGGCGCCAACCACGAGACGCTCGCTTTGGGCATCGAGCACGACCAGTTGACGACCGTGCAAGACCTTCTCTTGCATCGCCGCACCACTCTGCTTTCGGTTGAAAATGCGCTGAAGGACCCGGTGGTCTATCGGCGTGTCGGCATTCTTCGGTGGCTCTGCCAGCAGCTCGAGGCGCGGGCGTGCTTGGCCGCAGCGAAGGCGATGGCACTGTACTACTGCGCGCCTGCCGCGCTTCGGTGCATTAACGACGCAATGGCCCGGCAGTCGACCGAGCGGTGCTTGCGGTCGGTGCTCCTCTCGAAAGCCCTCTTGACGTTCATTGGGTCGTATCAAGCCGGATGCGACGGCAGTACGGTCGCCTTGCACGCCATCTGCAAGGACCTTCCTCTCTACTCCAGCGACGGCCTCGGAGTGCCCGCGACTAGCGACTTTGCTTCGTACCTCGCGCACTTCACACTCTGGCGGGCTCGACATGGCCTCTCGCAGCTCCGTGATCTCTGTGTACCCACCTCTTTGCGTACGCTGTCTCGTGCGGCAACGCCGAGGTCCTCGGGGCGCTCGGACCGCAATTGCTATCGCCTGAGCGACGCGTCCAGCTTGACTGCCATCGTCAACGCATGTGCTTGAGGTTGAAGGACCAGCTGGACCACTGCAAGGTCGCGTACTGTGGCGTCGTCGAGCACGCTGCCGAGTCGGGTCACGTCGGTCTCGTCGCTATGCTGCGGGACGCGGGCTTTAGCATGGACAGCGTGTGGTACCGTGCTTGCTTATTTGGCCATTTGAACATTGCGCAGTTTGCCCACGAGCACCAACTTGCAGGATGGGGACGTAACTTTATTTACACGACGGCGGCGAATGGCCACCTCGACGTGATCCGGTTCTTTCACGAGCACAACTACGATGGCTTCAGCGATCACACGATCCGTGGGGCCGTGTACAGCAGCAACACGGACCTCGTTCAGTTTCTCTTGACGCATCGAGCGAACGACAGCACGCTGCGTACGGCAATGAATATGGCCGCAGAGACCGACAAGCTCGAGATCGTCATGTTGTTGTGCGACCAACCAAACGCGTCGCAGTGGGTGGACGAGGCCTTGCGAGGTGCTTACGTGACTCGCAGCCACCGCTGCGTTGCCCACCTCAAAAGCCTACCCGGCGAGTCGACGGCCACCATCCACCTCTTTGAACGCGCTTTCAAACGCAAGGCAGTTGAGATGGCGTGACGAGGTTGCTGTTTGTCTCAATACTATGTTTTTGTTTTTGTTATTGTCACATCGCACTTGTCTCGTGCATTTGGTCAGTCGTCGTCCTCGTTTCGACACTGGAGTACCAAACAGGTAGAACAAAGTCTCTGCGGCGGCACTCTTGCACATGTCGTGGGTCGCACGCAGTGTTGGCGTTGGAGCCTGCGCCAGCCGAGCTCTGTATATCTCGGTGCGGTGGTGCCATCCACCAAGATCTGCTCCGCATGTCACGAGGCGAGAGGATAGAATCGTTCTTTTTCATTTATCTATTGCAAGCACGTTCGTTTAATTCTTTTACATAATCAATATCTTTTTGACGTGGCACGCTCACGTCGCAGACAACATGTGGGCGATCCTTATCCGGAAATACCGGTTAACCTAAAGGTGTGACCACAAACGAAACATCGGTCCGGTGCGGCGACCGACAACGCACTGCACAAGGCGATCCGAACGGCGGCAGAATCCGACAATCTCGACATTCTCACGTGGTTGTGCGACCAACCTGGGGCGTCGCAGTGGGCAACTATGGCCATGCAACGCGCCTACAGCACTCGCAGCCACCACTGCAGTGCCCACCTCCGAACCCTACCCCACGTGTTGAATGTCTCTATGAGCTCGCCCTCAAGCGCAAGGCGTCCGAGATGACATGATCTCGTTGTTCAACACGTTTTTTTCATTTCGTCAATGTTGTCCAGTTGCACTTGTCACCGCCATCCACAAGATTTGGACTTGGAGCTAGCACAGTTCTCGAATCGATTCACTCCGATGCCAGCCCATAGACTGACTCACCCATCAGATAAACCCATCAGGCAGGTTGCGCTCAAGGCAGCGCTTGTATGCATACGCAGCAAGAACTCTCGACCAAGAGGACATCGAGTCAACTGAATTTCTTTCGAGTGGCATTGTGAATTGATGAATTCTTGCTCTTGACGGTCGCTCGCGATATTGCTCAACAAGGTACTAACGCAGGCATCTCGGCGGTTGGCAATCGCTCGCGTCAAAACCGCATGCGCCACAACATAGTCGTGGTCGCACTGCCATTGCAACACCGAAAGGCGGTGTGTGTTGGACCGCAAACTTGGTTGAGGGCGTTGTGCCGTAGTACAGGAGGGCGGTAATACTCGTTCTGCAGCACAGCCGTGTTGCCGCTGCGCACTGCTGCACAGGTCGGGTTTGCAATCCGCCCACTATCTCGCGGCAGAAAATGTCAAGTGGCGTTCAACACGTACTGTGATTTAGGCAAACCGCACGAGCGTCAAGATGCACTGCCCTACACCGCGCACCGCCGCATCACGACGGTACAAGTATAGAGTACGCGCGCAAGTCGAGATGCCCACGACAGAATATTGGAAGCAATAAGAAAGTGGGGACCCGAACGCGGATCCACCTCGTGATAAGCCAGTGGGTAAAGCACTGAAGAATTGGACAAGACTCTTCGAAACTGAAGCAAACCTCGTCGTGGCCATGGAAGACATTTTTGCCCCCGAACATCGAGGCCCAATACGTCTCGTGGCTGCACGAGTCCGTACGCGAGACGATGGTCGACTTCCATCGCACTCGTTCGTGGCGGCGGGCCACCCAACTGCTACGAAAGACACCGAAAGTTGCGTGCGTTTATCCGATCTTCAACGGCAAACTGGCTGGTCGCATTTCGTTGGCCCGTCTAAAATAAACTTGGCCATTGTATGCAATACAATAAACGGGCGTCGGCGACTTTACCGCGATGCCATTGGTCGGTGCTAAAAACCAACCAATTTGAAGGGATCGTCATTTTGGCGTTCCCGACATGGCCGACCAGCAGACCCCCAAGCCGAAGAGCGTGCTCCGCGCGTCCGCAAGCACCTTTGTGCCCTCCTTCCTCAAGCCCACGGCCAAGGCCTTTGTGCCCTCTGGTGCGTCCTTATCCCATCCGATTGCATTCTTATCCCGAGTGGCGTAGGCATGACGCCGGCCGCGCCCGTGTACACGCCCCCGGCGCCGATCAAGGCGGATGTTCCGGTGACTGTCGCCGCGCCTGCGTCGCCGGTGGCGGCGGCAATCGAGGCCGTTGCGCCCTCGACGCCGTGCAAGCCCGAGCCCGAAGCCGAGTCGCAGCCGGCTGCGTCGCCCATCTCGACCGCCTCGTCGGCCTCGGAGAAGGAAGACGTCGAAGCGCCCGTGGTTGTCGTCGCGCCGGTGGTCGTTGCCCCGGTCGTCGCCCCGGTTGTTGCCTCGGTTGTTGCCTCGGTTGTTGAGGCCGCGCCGGCCGTCTCGTCGGTCGACCCCGTCTCGCCCGGCCGCAAGCGCCGCATCACGTACACGATCGCCGAGATGATGGCGATGGAGCCCGAGCTGTGCCCGGTGCCGCAGTCGCTCGTTGGCTGCATTGTGATTGCAAACCCCGGTGACTCGAAGATTGCGCGCGCGCTGTACCTGCAGACCAAGGACGACAAGCCGGCCCACGGCGGCAAGTCGTCGCAATACGACCGCCCGAAAAAGTCGCGCAAGGGCAAGAAGCACCACTCGGCGCCGATTGAAGAGGACCTCTCGAACGTCAAGCCGCTCTCGATCAACGAAGAGACGCGCTGGAAGCCCAAGGTGGCGCGTGGCGTCGTGGACGCGGTCACGACCGAAGAGCACTTGCAGGGCGTCCAGTCGATCCTCAACAAGCTCTCGGTGGAGAAGTTTGAGCGTCTCTCGGATCAGCTTATCACCGTTGCCGTCAACTCGCTCGATGTGCTCAAGGGCGCGATCGATATGGTGGTCAAGAAGGCGCAGATGGAGTGGCATTTCTCGGCCATGTACGCCGAGCTCTGCACCAAGATGGCGCGCACCGACATGCCGCTTGTCGTGTCGGAAGACGAAGCCGACGGCGAGCGCAACACGGCCAAGCTCTTCCGCACGCTGCTTTTGACGCGCTGCCAAAAGGGTATGTCATTCTGACGCACTTTGCCCTTACTCATGTCGCATATCATTTTTTCTAGAATTCGAGGTGACGCCGCTCACGAGCTTGAACGAGTCGGACACGGACGCGCTCAGCGTCGCGGCGCTTGCCGAGAAGGCGCTCATCCTCAAGCGCGCGACGCTTGGCCACATTCGCTTCATTGGCGAGCTCTACAAGCAGGGCATGCTCAGCAGCCGCATCATGCACGAGTGCATCCAGCGCCTCTTTGGCAACCTCGAGTCGCCCGATGAGGAGAACCTCGAGTGTATGTGCAAGCTCATGTCGACGATCGGCGCGCGCCTCGAAGAACGCGCTCAGGCGGTCCCTGTCGAGAAGACCCTCATGGAGCAGTACTTTGACTTGATTGCCAAGCTCGCGGGCGCCAAGGACAAGCTCTGCACGCGTGTCCGCTTTATGCTCCAGGACCTCCTCGACCTTCGCGCCGCCAAGTATGTGTCGCGCATCAAGGAGGTCAAGGCGACGACGATCGCCGAGATCCACGCGCAAGTCGCCCGCGAAGAGCGCGTCAAGGCGGCCGGTGCGCCCAAGCCCCGCGCGCTCCAGAAGAGCCAATCGATGGCCGCGCCGCCCATGTCGGCACCGCGTCGCAGCAGCTCGTCGGTGGTCGCGGCGGCGCCGAGCGACCCGGATGGGTGGGAGACGATCCCGAGCAAGCCCAAGATGACCAAGTCGATCAGCGTCCCGGACAACAAGCGCTTTGGCAACAAGAATGGCCCGCCGCCGTCGGGCCGCAACGACCGTGACCGCAGTGACCGCCCGGACCGCAGCGACCGTGGTGCCCGCTCGCGTGACAGCCGTCGTGGCTCGGTCGAGCGTCCCCCGCGCAACCCGGCGTCTTCGTCGTCCAAGGGCGGTTTCCACCGCTCGTCGTCGCTTGCGTCGTTGCCGTCAGCGTCGACGCCGGTTGTCACGGCGACCCCGGCGCCGACGCCGGTCGTCGCCGGTCGTTCCGAGGATGACCTCAAGAAGAAGGCGATCTCGATGCTCAAGGAGTTTGCGCACGAGAACGACGTTGCCGAGGTCGTCGCGAGCCTCCCAGATGCGCTTGCGCACACTGAAGCCATTGCGACGGCCGTGCTCAACCACGGCCTCGAGCATAGCCAGGTCGAGCGCACAGCGGTCGGTCCGTTCCTTGCGGGACTTTTCGCCGCCGGTCTCGTCGACCCGACCGCGGTTGTCCGGTCGCTCACTGACATTTTGGAGTTTTTGGAAGACTTGGAGATTGACATTCCGCTCGCGGCCACGTACCTCGCCGAGATGATGGCGCCGCTTGTGGTGGCGGGTGTCGTCGACCTCTCGGGCCTCGACGCGCCGATGGCACCGCTCAGCGCGGAGAAGCAGACCAAGCTCAAGGCGCTGTTGGCGGCCGCGATTGCGGCGCTCAACGCCGAGACCCTCAAGGACGACGTGGCGGCGCATGCGTCGGCGTAAGTTGGTTTGCGTCTGTGTACCACTAGTAGATGATGATAGAACGCTTGATTTATGATGGAGTATGTAATGCACATGACATTGGACAATTTTGGTCTGCATTTTCCTTTCTCTGTAGCAAATGCCTGCTAAGCTTAGCTTGCAATGCATCCTTCTTGGCCACGGGCTCTGTCGCGCCGGACAGGCCGGAAGAAAGAGGGCGCAAAGGTTGACGCGAACCGAGCAGACGACGCACGGTTCGGTAGAGTTCAACCGTCCGGCTGGGCCCGATACTGATATAAAACGATGACACGATTATTGCGAGGTCGTGGTCGTTGGAGATGGCGCGCCAAGTGCGGTCGCGATCCAGTGCAGCCCTTCGTGGAGGCCGGCACCAGTGACAGCGCAGCACGGCTGGACAAACCATCGCTGCCGAATTGCACGCAAGCGAAGCGCTTCGGCCACGTCGGCATTGCTCATGACTTGAAGGTCTTGCTTGTTGGCGTAGATGAGGATGACTGTATTTCGGAGCGCGTCGGCCGCCACGATCGCATGCAGCTGCGCACACGCCAGGTCCATGCGCGAGGTATCGTAGGTATCCACGACATAGACGACGGCTTTTGCGTTGTCGTAGTAGTGGCGCACGACTGTCGTGAGGCAAAACGTACCACCAATGTCCCACAATGTGAAGCTGAAGCCTTCGAACGGGACTTGCTCGACGTTGAAGCCGATGGTTGGGGTCGTTCTGATGCACTCGCCGAGCCGCAGCTGATACAGGATTGTGGATTTACCTGCCGTGTCAAGGCCCACCAAGATCACGCGCGTCTCGTGGTTTGATGCAAAGAGCCACGAGACTGTCGAGGAGATGGTGCTCATGACAAGATGGAGACTGCACTCCAAATTTGGAATCGACGACCGAAACGCTGCCCACAGCGCGCCACGTCATGTAACCAGAGCCAATCACATCGCGCCAAGAGGAACATCGATAAACTAAATCCGAGGGCCAACATTACCAACACGATCCATCAGGACGAGCAATGTGCATTGTAAGGTGAAATATGAAATGTGGGCTCGTTAATTTGTTATAAAGTTGCTAGTTGTACAGTAATCGAAGAGCAAAGTGGGAAATTGTGCGCGGCATTGCATCATGGCTTGCGAAGTGCGTTGACGAGCCAATGAAGGCCTTCGTGAAGCCCGTCGCCAGAGGTCGCACAACACGCCTGCACAAACCACGGGCGCTGCATCGAGCGCAAGCCCAAAGCCTCGGTTATGTTGGCCGCGCTCATCGCTTGCGGCAGGTCTTGCTTGTTGGCATAGACGAGCACCACTGCGTTTTGGAGCTCGTCCGAGGACAACAGCGCGTGGAGCTCGTGACGCGCCTCGTCCATGCGGTTCACGTCGTTGGCGTCGACGACGAAGACGATGGCGCTTGTGTTCTGGTAGTAGTGGCGCCAAAGCGACCGGATCCGGTCTTGGCCGCCAATGTCCCAAACGGTGCAATGGAAGCCCTTCACATCCAGCGTCTCGACGTTGAAGCCGATCGTGGGAATTGTCGTGACGACGTCGCCGAGCTTGAGCTTGTAGAGGATCGTCGTCTTGCCCGCCGCGTCGAGGCCGAGCATAAGCAGACGCGTGTCACGAGTGGAGACCAACTGAAAGCGCATCAAGAACGACTGGAGAAGACCCATTGTGTTTGTATGGAATGCGCCCGCGACTGCAAATTGGATTGTGAGGAAGGGCGGTGCTGTATCCCCAATACTCTGTTGTCGTGGCGCCACGTCATCACAAATGGACCAATCAAACGCCAGCACGTCAATCGGCAACGTGTTCGAACACGATCCATGTCTTCCATAACGAGCGCTTACGCTTCTGCGCACTCGCATGGGCAAAGTGGGTCAAACCAAATCGAAGATTGGAAATGGTTTTACCGGTATCCTAGTTTTCTGTGACGGCCCACCAAATGCGTCAAGATATCCACCGCTCATGCCACTCATTTTCGTTCGTCCGTGTGTATTCGAGTGCTGGCTGTTGTAGGGCATGCTGTTTTTGGTACTGACGCGATTCAGGTCGTCACTATTTTCACTGGAAAAAGTGATTTAGCAGGGTTTTCCGTGTAGAGTTGGCATTTACCTCGCAGACGACCGACAGCCGATATTCGTCATCTCGACATGTACGCTCGGATTAGCTCCGCGAACAGCATGCGAGGTCAGCCATCTATACGTCCTGGAGGCAGCCAAGTCCCATCGTTGCGATAGCCCGTGTGGCTTCTTGACCAAACACGGAAAAGCGTCAACGGTCTGAACCAATGCTATCTTTTCTCAACAAACGGTCCTCTGGCGGTGGTCATATTTTTCTTCGTATCGTTGCGAGAGGACCCAAGGGTTTAGCAAACCCAATCCACTGTACACTGTTGTCATTGGATAAATAGAAAAAACGTGCTCGATCACCACCTCAGCACCTCCTTGAATTGCCTTTACCGAGCCGTCAACATGGCACTACCCATAAATGCAGCACGAGTGTTGCAAGGCAGCTCTGTCTTCAACATCGAGAAAAGTTGCGTGCGCGCAGCCTCGCAAACCGGTAACTTTTGACCGAGCATGCTGACGTCACCGCGCTGGTTGTCGGGACAAGCGAGAAGGACTCGAAGCGGCGTCAAGCCTTGCTGAATCTTTCATGAGCTTGACTGCAAGCCGTTTGTTTGCGTGTTTCTAGTCTTGTGTGTTGCCTATTGCTTGCCCTTCAGCATTGTTCTCGATCGTGGCGCCTGGAAGGACTTTGTAGAGCTTTGCTGACGTCATGGACCTGACTTGCGGTCGCAAGTGCCCCGAAGTGACTACTGACGAGAGCCGTCTGCACAGCCACTGCCCGGCGAGTGAATGAAGGAGAAGGAGATTGCTCGTCCCTCCGTATGCAACGTCTCAGTAGCAAAAGTGAAAAGGGTGGGAAAGATTTGTACTAGTAGAAGGATACACTGTACATGTAGCAAAAAGGCAAAAAATGAAATGGAGCGTCAGCGATGCAAGAGCGACTCGATAGAGAATTAGCAGTCTATCCTTGCGTTTCAGTTTCGCGTTGTTCAACGAACGAACATTGAGCAAACTCCCGCAAAGATTTTGATTGGCTTTGACAGCGTGACGTGGCAGAATGTGGGCCCTTTAGGCAATGGTGCATCATCCAATTTTAGACTCCGCCGGCATAATTTCAAATGGGTCTTGGCTGCTCGTATTTTTTGCGGCCCTTCGCGTCGCGCCACGAGACCAAAATGGTTCTACTGGGTCTCGACGCCGTCGGCAAAACGACGATCCTCTACCAGCTTCGGCTCGGCGAGTGCGTCACCACGTTCTCGACCGGTGGTATGAACGTCGAGACGTTCCAGTTTGAGAACCTTGACTGCACAATGTGGGATCTTGGCAGCAGTTATCGCGTCTCGACAATCATCCACCACTACTACGAATGCGCCGACGCGATCATCTTTGTCGTCGACGCCAACGATCGTGCGCGCATCGAATTTGCTCGTCGCCAACTCCACGAAATGGCAGTCGCCAACGAGCTCAAAGACGCAGTCCTTCTCGTCTATGGCAACAAGCAAGATCTTCCAAACGCCATGAGCGTTTCCGAATTGACCGAAGCACTCGCTTTGCACTCGGTTCCTCAGCAATGGTTTGTTCAAGCGTGCTGTGCCACGACGGGCGAGGGCCTCCACGACGGTCTGCGCTGGCTTGCCACGACATTATGTACACATTAGCTTACTATTGATGCAGATCTCGCATTTATGCGGAATGATGCTGGCTTAGTTTGAACAAAAAACAGAGCATCAATATTGTCATTCAGATGCGCTTTTTAGTAGTCGTCGGCCGAGGTCGCTTGACGTTTGCCCGAGCGGGGCATACGGTCGTACGCGGCCATGGTACTCGTCTTGCGGGACGCTCATGAGGCAGAGACCTTCCTGGACATGGAGGACGACCGTCCGACGGAGTCCTTGGCGAACCAGCTCCAGCGAATGCGAGCGGAGCTCACCGCGGCCTACCGCAAGATGGACGAGCAGCAGCGTGCCATCGCAGCCCACGATGACCGCGTCAAGAGTGTCGAGGACGGACGACGTCGGGACTCGGCTTTGCGCTTGTGGCGGGTGTCGACGGTCGCTGCCGTGTCCCGACGTCGTCCGTCTTCGACGCTCTTGACGCGGTCATCGTGGGTTGCGATGGCGCGCTGTTGCTCGTCCATCTTGCGGTAGGCCGCGGTGAGTTCCGCTCGCATTCGCTGGAGCAGGTCCGCCAAGGACTCCGTTGGACGGTCGTCCTCCATGTCGAGGAAGGTCTCTGCCTCATGAACGTCCCGCAGCACGTCATAGGCCTTGGCGTTCGACACTGGCGCACTGGGTAAGCTTCTTGCTTGGTTCAAGCCGTACGACTGCCTCCACAAATCGAGTTGCGTGCTGGAAGACGAGAATGCGCGGCGATCTGATCAGAGCGTGTTCCATTGGACAGC